ATTTTATGTGCAGCATATTTGGTTTGTTAAGAAACAGTATGAAAAACATCCTAAATTTTACACAATATAGGCTCATATATTTAATTACACAAACCTGCTACAAATAGGAGTTCTCAGCAAAAGTCAATTAGCTTTTTGCACATGCATAAATGCAAAGTCTTTAGATTAAAATGTATCAATTTAGAATTATATTTTATAGCCAGTATTAAATGAGTATACTGAAAAAAACTCATAAAAACATAGCTAAATACACTTAATCTCTTACTGGAAAAACATTCACATTATGAGACTAGAGGAATATTTTGGATGTCAGTCTCCTAAAGAACACAAGTAACTTCACCCCTATTTACTACAAGGAAAAATTAAAACAATGAACTTACCTTTAACACTTTTTCTGTTAACATCAGCTCCTTTTTCAAGTAAATACTGAGCGATTTCTTTGTGGCCTTTGTAACATGAGATCATCAAGCACGTATGCCCATGACGGTTTGATACTTCCAAGTCTGCTTTGTGCTCCACAAGACATTTTACTATTTCCAGGTGACCATCAAAACAGGCAGCTCTAAGCGGAGTTGAATTTGTTAGAGTTGTGTTGTTGACAGATGCACCATGATCTAACAGACACTGAACCACCTTCAAGTGGCCAGCAGCTGATGCTGCCCATAATGGTGGAGCTCCCTCAATGGTCTCACCATCAAAATTAACCGAACCGCCAATTTCTATAGAAGCAGAGCAATAGTCCAACAGGTATTGCACCACGTCAACATGCCCATAACGGGCTGCCATCAAAAGTGGTGTGGCACCATTGGTTTTTTCTGACATTAGTAAGGCCACCTCTTCTCTAGTTTTGCTTGCCAGTAACTTGGAAAGGAGCTGCAGCTTGCCATCACGAGCTGCATTGAACACTGCTGTCTTTAGATCCATTTAGTCTGTACCTCTATTTCTTGAGGGATACACACCTGCCTTTTTCAGAGTCACACACAAAAGCTTATTAGAAACACACAGCCCAAACAGAGCATCCCCCACTTTTTCTCAGATCAGGCAGATAGGACAACATGGAGACTCTGAATGAGGTCCTGACAAAGCACAGGCTGCACTTGATAACTCTGCAAAAGAAAAGAATTCTGAATGTTTTTACCTTCTACTTCTCAAATAAGTATAATTACATTTTTCTACAGCTATACTTGAACAAACCACTGGCTGTGGTGCACCAACATCCAGCTGCCTTCCATGGGACTTCCCTGGACTGCACAGTGCCCCTTAAGGAAAGATGTTGAGCAGGAAGTTGGATCCTAGCAGTGCCATTATCCATACCATTTGCAGGAAAACAATATCTCCTCACAACACGAAAAAAATTATGCTTGTACCATAGAATAGTTTGGGTTAGAAGAGACCTCCAAAGATCATCTAGTCTAATCCCCCTGCAGTGAGCAGGGACATCATCAACTAGAGCAGGTTGCTCAGAGCCCCATCCAACCTGACCTTGAAT